ACAAGTAAAATGTTAAAAATCAATGGCCAGGAATTAGTAAAACTTCAAAAGTCCAACCTCAACGGTTTCCATAGAAACAAATGTGACTCTTGTTTCACCTTTGGGATTCCAAGCTAATTGCTATCATATTGATCAGAAGTTAGAACGCCAACCAACAGACAGAAGGCAGAAAAGGAAAATTTCTGAACCTATAATATGGCATAATATGCTCTGGAGTTGATTATCAAGCAATTTTCAGTCCCCAAAAGATATACTATGAACATCATAAAAAAAGAACTAAAATGCATGAAACGGGTAAGTTTACGATTATTTCACCAAATTTATTTATGACGTATACCAGAAAATTAGGTTGCGGTTGGTTTGGCGTTTTCGGGCCATTTTACGTTTTCGAGAACGCATAAAACGCGTTTGGTCCGTCGTTTTCGAAAACAAGCTAAAATTTATAACTGAAAATGCAAAACGACTTTTTATCATTTTGAGCGTTTTCAATTATAAATTCCCAAGACACGGAAAACGCTCAAAACGTGCCATTTTCGGGAAAAACTAAAAATCATTTTGAAACTGAAAATGGAAAATGGAAAATTAAACCAACCGCACCCTTAACATTCAGATTAGACATATAGATTCAGGGGCTGAATACCCTTGCATGGGAAACACTTCTGCTTTTGATGGCCATTTTCATTTTCCGCCTATCCTGCTTTGCAGATTTCAGGACAAATCACTCTTACCACCAATGACTGGAAAGTCGGTGAATCCTGGCACCTGATTTCATGAGTTTGAACCAGTATGATCTTTACTTTCACTTTCTACAAATTTCCATGAATCTACACCATTCCTTCTTTGTTTCCCGTGCCCAAAGGAGGCTAGTGCTATTACAGCACTACTTCCATGTTGAGAGGAATTGCCAGAACCATGTGATGCTATCAATCTTTTGGGATTGCATTTCAGATATACCATGTTTCTTCTGAAATTGACGTAGTTACACTTACGCCTACAAAATGCACCGAACTTTAAGATATTTCACTATAAAGCATTCAGGATATTTGATTCTCAGAATAATATTGGAAGTTCTACTTAGGTTGATCGTCAATCACGACAAAGTATAGGCTTAGGGTCTTACGATTCACATTCTCACTCCCCAGGATTAAGTTGCCTCTTTGGAGGTTTCTCTTTACACTGCAAGCATCCCGTGTATCTTGCAAAATTCAAAAAATTGTATCTGCAAAAAAGATGGATCTCATGAGAAATAAAATAGATTAAATACTGGGGAAGCTACCTTATCCAACAAGATGAGGAACAACTTATTTCAATGAATTATTACTTATTTTATATCCACTCTCCTTTCTTCAGTGGGAGATGATCCTGATCTTCCAATAATTTTTTGTCTTTATTCAGATATGCCATCACAACTTAAGCACTTGATATTCCGAGAAACATTTAGGAATTGGCACCTAGAAAATAATTGAAAATTTAACACTAGGCACAAGATAGCAAGAGAAATAATTTGAATGTCAGAGCAATTACATGAAGCAAATCCAGTAGCCTTGCTTCATTGGAACATGGCTATGGCTTCTTTCTTGTTCAACATCATTTCCTTGCATAGATGACTCCCATTTAGAGATAGCCACTCTTGGTGGTTCAATATCACGTTCCTCAGCCCTAAAGTCCATCATATCTTTCAACAGTTTTCTTATTGATTCCTTTACCCTTTTGTTGAAGCATGGCTTGTTCTCACAGAGCAATATACAGGACCAAGCCCATATGCCAACACAAAGCACATGATATCCACAATCCTACCACCTTCATGTAGGGAATTTACTTAAATATGCACAGCGAAATTAAATAAATTTCAATTCACATTCAGGATTCAGCCTTGTATTTAGATAAAAATTGTGATAAGAAATATACATTTTCTTGATTTTGCAAACTTATTCGCGTTATTCCTTTCCAACAACTTGAATCTACTTCCTACAACTATCCAATTGTCCAGCCTCTAATGAAATCCACACAGAGAATAGACTGCAACTGTTAGGGTTTTTCCTCTTGTGACAGCAAGAATAATGAAAACCTTATGGATCTCAAACCCTAACCATGTATTTATATAAACTCAAACGGGTTCGGCCCGATTCGGTCCAATATTCAATTAATCCGTTTAATTAAACTCGATCGATGAATTAATTAATCCAATTAATTAATTCGAGAATATAAATAACAAATCTAATTAATTAATTTATCCAACGATTGTTAAATTAATCAATTGGCAATTTGCAATCTTCCAATTCTCTTTTGTGTGCGACCCATT